TGAACCGGGCGGCCGGGCCTCCTTTGCGGTCCGCTCAGGAGTTGGCAACTTCAGGTGCAGCGCGGGGCTCGGGCCGTGGCGGAGGGGCGGGCGTTTTCCACCGGCAGGGCTGGGGTCCTGGCACAGAACTTGCTCCGTGTGTGCGCCAACTTAACGTGTAGTCGGAATCACAGGTTTGGGGTTCCCGTCCCCAGCAGAGGAATTAGGGACCAGTGGGAATTGAGGTCTGGTGGAAGGCAAGTTTCTGGTGGTGAAATGTGTCGTCTTGACTTCCGTTCAGAAAGTGTCTCTTGAAGGTGTAAGGCACCATCCTGCTGTGCACGAGGACAACCCTTCTAGTTACAGCAATAACGTGAATTGGGACGCGAAACGCTTCCTAAACACGTTTTTCATCTGCTAACGTTCCTTGGAATGCAGACTTTATTCCTTGGAATAGAGACACGTTTGTGGCCAAACAAAAGTAAACTTTTGTCTGCTTCAAGGTGCAATCTGTGACACAGACTCCATGGCAGGCAGCAGTTGACCCTCACTTTTTAATTCACCGAACACCCACAGCGTATAATCCACATAACTTCCTTGAATGAATGAACTTTAAGAGGAATATTTAGTGGTGTAAAGAGTCAGTGTTATTTAAAAATATGAATGTCATTGTTTACCAAGTTTCACAGTCAAAACACAGAGAACAGTTTCCTGGTTTACGTTTCACTTTTTCGCAGTCTTACATGATGTGGGTGGGAAAGGTTCAAGATCTGTCCTTGCTGCCCCCCAGCCCACCCGCCCCTGAATTCTTGTTTTGGAGCATACTGGTTCTGGGGACAGTGGATTTGATAGGATTCTAAGAAAAATTAGTTTTCTGGAGTTTTCAAGAGCTTTCCATTTCGAGGCCTTTCCATTTGGAGGCCTAGATCTCAGCCAGGTTGTTCACCTGAACCTTTACCTTTTTTTTTTCTACTCCACACAGCATTTCTTTTGAATTTTTTTTTCTTTTGCCTTTATTATTTTTTAAATAGCTTCTGGGAAAAAATAAATAAATAAATAAATAAATAGCTTCTGAATTGGATGCAGGTACCTAGCCTTGCCTTTTCTCTTCTTACAGTGTAAGACTGGTAGACTGTGAACACCTTAGGATGTCGCTCGACTGCTCGCTTGTTAGGCCACATGGAGGGAGTGGCAGGGAAGGGTTTGGGTGCCAGCGGTAGCACGGGGTGTTGTTTGGAAAAGGTTTGCTGTCCTGACTGGATTTCTAGTCACTTGGAATTTGCTTTCCAATATTTTTCTTTAGTCTTTGTGTAGAATTTAAAAGATGGTCTTTTTAATAGCGCTCTGTTTAGAGAATGGACATTTTAATATTGTCTTGTGTAACTTCACCTCTTAGCTAAAAACCCTATTAGTTTTCTCTAATGTGGTCATTTTCAGGGAACATTGTGTTACTGATAGTACCATTTGTATTGCTCACATAAGTGATTGTATGATTTATTTAGAAATCATGATACAGTCTGAAAAAGGGGGCATGTTATATGTCTGTTTCTGAATTGGTTGGAATGACTGTTAATTCCCTCAAAAAATATGCTATCATAAGAAACAGGATGTATGCACATGCATCCATATGTTGGAAGTACGAGGCCAAATACCGCATGTTATTTATAATCTACTTAAACTGGTGGATGTGGATTCATCCTGTCTCAGTGCTCTGCTAAGGGTGGGGTAAATAGATGACCTGCCAGGGAGCTAAGAAGACATTTTTTTCTATTCCTTGTATAGGAAGCGAAGGTTGTGTATTTCAAGTCTCTTCTTCCCTCACCTCTTTCAGTTCTAGAAATACCATTTTGTCTGTGGTGCCTGGGTATTTTTGTAAGTTCTCCTTTGACAAGGAAGAAATTTCAAATATCAGTATGTCATAAAAGAGACTCATGACTAAAGTAATTATGTAGGTATTAAAAGAGAAACATCAGTGGTATATATTTATATTGCTTTGATAGTGAAATTGTCTTAATGTTTTTCTCTATAACTTACTATGTGGCTTATTGTATTGGTTGAGTTACTACATAGTGAAGGCTTTGGGACCTAGCAGAGTGTACTTAAACTAACTTTAGGGTGTTCATTGATGATCCACAAGATTTTCTGTACTTAGAGTAGGGTGTTTTTTTTTTTTTTTTTTACCAGGGATCAAACTCAGGACCTTGTGCTTGCCAGGCAGATGCTTAAACCACTGAGCTATCTCCCCAGCCCAGTAGTTGGTTTTAGGTTGCTATCAGTCTTGCTAATTTTTTTAATATTATTGTAGATCTTAGTTCCAGTATTGTACACAGGAGAAATTTGAGAAGTGTTAGAGTTTCCTTTTACTAGCTATGTAGCATTGGGTAAGTTTTAGATCCCCACTGCATCTTATTCTTCTTAAGGGTAAAGGAGGGGACAATAATCCATCACAGAGCTCTGGATTTTAAGTAAAATTCCAATTTTTTTCATAACCACATTTCTGTCTAGTTTTGCACCTTTTCTTGAACAGGCTCTTCTTCCTCAATTGGACATGGTAGTTACACACACACACACACACACACACACACACACTTGTGGTCCTTTAATGGCTCCTGGTGATTGGTTCATTCTTAGACCTTAATGCCAGTGTCACCACCTAAGAGAAGCCTTCCTTCACTACCTTTTGAATCCTTTAATAATCCCAAGTGATCATTGTATGTTTCCTTCATAACATTTATTAACGATTTTGTTTACTTATGTCTGATCTGTCTACTTTCACACAAGTTTTTGAGGACAGGATGCCTGCTGTAGCCACACTTTCCCCTTTGTGACCACAGCACATACCGTGGAGCTTGGCCACTGAATAGGAGATCTGGTATACAAACTGTACATTTAGTTTTCATGTTATTTTCCATACATTAAAGGTAAAGAAATAACTTTAATTCTTATAAAGCTGTTGATGTTTTGTGTTATTTATCCCTATCTGGATTTAGCTGAATAAATCGTAGCATTGGTGAAAACCTAAGGCTTTTATTTTTTTATTTTTTAATGTATTTGGTTGTTGCAGTATCTCACTGTGTAGCTTGGAGATCCTCCTTCTTTCAGCCTCCATGGCGCTGGAATCAGAGGCATATGCCTCTATACCTGGACTCTTGCAGGTTCCACCCTAGGGGAGGGGCTGGTGCAGCACATGGTGTGGGGATCAAACCCCAGTCCCTGCACTTGCCTGAACTTGCCTAAGTAGGCACTTTAGTCTGCTGAGCTTTCTCACCAGCCCCTACGGCCTTTATTTTAGCAACTTGGTCCAAACAGCCTCACAGGGTGAGAACTGTCTTTATGGACCCAACTGGCCCACAGTGTAGATGCACAGATCTGAGCCACTTCAGGAAATGTAGTTATTTATACTGTGTGAAAAGAATATCCAAAGCACGTTTCCTTATGTAGCTTTATAAAATAAAACCTCCGTTACCTGGCATCTCCTGGCATTCTCAGTTTTCTGACTGAGGAATCCAACAAGAAGGAAAAACTGTTTTGGAATTAAACAAACCAGAGAGCCAGAGGATTTTGATTACAACAGATGAGAATGGGGATTTAGATTTGAATTTCAACAGTTCAATTTTATAGAGATTTTAAAAATAAGACATTGTTTTATTTGGTTCATACATAAAATATCAGCTGGTGTGAACATTAAGTGAGATCTTGCATGTAAATATTGGTTTGGTGCATTGATTATAATAAGTGCTCATAGTGATAATTAAGGTATGATTAATCAGCATCCCCAATGCAAGCCTTGAGTTTTCTTGTTAAGGAAGCCCAGGGTGGTGAAAAGGTTGCAACCAAAGTGGCAAGAAAAGTAGAAATAACGGAGGAAGGAGAATGGGCATCTATAGAGTATAAGCAGTGGTGCAGGCCACCAGGACAGGGAGAACTGCATGTGGGCTCCGAGCAAGTTGTAGTGGGAGCTTACCAGGGAGGTCATTGCAGTCTGCTTGAGTTTGGTGGCTTTGTCATTCAGAACCCTCTGCTCATGTGATTTGTGACTTGATACTACTTTATTAATTTTCATAGTCAGCACCCTAAAATATTTTCTTACAATTATTGAAATTATTTCTTAGAAATTATTGAAATACCCACCACCCCCAGAGACTGTGGAGTGACAATTTTCCCATTTTTCCAGCAGCAGACTCTTGAGTTGGCTAGAAGAAGAGAAGGAAAAGATAGGATACCTCTGAAGGCCTGCGAGCCAAACAGTGACATGAGCATCAGAAACCCTCATGGTATCACTATGACATCTGGGAATTTTTCAGCAGGTAAATTTGGTATTTGGAGAAATACCTATCTATATGGAGCAGTTTATGACAGCATGAGATTATATTTAATATACACTGGTGCTTAAAAGCAGGCAGAAAAGTAAGTGGTTCCTATTAAATAAGACTTTTATTGGGCCAGGGAAATAGCTCAGTAGAATAAGTGCCTGCCTGGCAAGCACAGGGTCTTGAGTTCAATTCGTGGTACCAAAAAAAAAAAAAAAAGACTTTTATCAAAAACTTTTAATAAATGACTTGTTAATCTTTAGATATTCAGACAAGGAATTAATTCACTTAAGTGTTTTTGAGAGCCAGTTCTTTGATGCTGCTTGCCGTTGTATTTGTAGTGATTTTTGTGGTTGATTTTACTCACCTACACCGCGAACATGCTGGATGATTGAAGCAGCAGGATTAAGGTGTTTGATTTAAGGTGAATTCTTATTAGTATATTTACAACTTTGTATATTATTACCTGGTGTAAATTTTGTTTTGATGATTACAAAATTTTGTTTTGATGATTACAAAATTAAGGTGTTAACCAAAGCTTAATTTTTAAAATTGAAATATTAACTCATCTGACAGTATTGATTTTTGTTTAAAGAATAAATAACATATTTAGGGAATATTATTATTACCAATTATCACAGACTGTTAAAATGGATAAATAATTACCTAGAATTTTATTAGGACTTTAGTGGTTTTATACATTTGCAAAATTGGTACAACTTAGAGCTAGAAGAAACTTGATTATGTGGCCCATCTTTGTCCCTCCACAGACCATGAGATTGAGCCCAGAGTAGTTATATAACTGCCCCAAGTCACATCACATATCAGCGGATTTTGGAATGGGACCCAGTATGTGCAGTCCTTCCTGCTGTTGGTGCCAGCTGTTTTAATCCTGGGAGCTGGTCACTTGGATTGTGCTTCATGGAGAACTTGGCAGAGGAGCTGGCTCTTGGAGGGGACAGGGGAGAGGCAGAAGGGAGTGTCCAACACAGGAGAGCCTGTGCCATAAGTGGTAATTTCTTATTGTCTTGTTTTAAGTTTCTAGGTTTACTTTTTAAAATTTTTTTTAAAGAGAGTACAAATTAGAATTAAAACAAAAAATTACAAATGATACAGAATTTCACTTAACAAAGTAATATGAATTTCATAGTATTTGTGTAATACATAGTGTTGTCTTCCAAGTAGTTATTCATATTACCAGATATATGCTTGTAAAAGCGGGAGAAGAAAGATTAAAAGAAAGAAACATATAAGAAATTAAGAAGAGAAGTAGTACAAACAATTGAAAAAAGGAGATGAAACAAGTTAAAACATTACTTGGTGTACTTTAAAAATTAAAAAATATGTACATATGTATATATAAAATTTATTTTTTTCCTACTTGCTGCCTGAGAAAAGAGAAAATTTGAAAAATATTTTGGTGGTTTATGTGTCAGAAAATATCTTGTGCCAGGTGTCTGATTTCAAGTCTGACTATATATGCAAATTTAGATTAATATTTTAGTCAGTGGTTATGCAGCAGTGGTAGATTAACCTTGATATCTCTGTGTAAATAAAAAGACCTATTTCTTTCATAAAGTGTGCAGTGGGCTGGGCTCCTCATGGCTTTTTTTGTGTGGATAATGCCACTTTCCTGTGCAGTTCCCCATCCTATTGCCCCTTTGCCGATGAAAGAGTCCTGGTATGTTACTGCCAACACCCCTTTGGCTAGAACTAGTCTGTAACAATGCCAGGAACTAGGGACCATCACAAGGAGAGTCACTAAGCTGTAAGTGGGTGTCATAATTGAAGATTCATTTGTTTTTGAATTTTGTTCAGCTTTCAGTGTTGATGTTGAGCCAGGTGCTACCTGCTTCCCCTAGGTATTGTCTTTATTTTGTTTTTTTCTAGTTTTTTTGGGACCTTTGGATTATTTCCTAAATGGTAACATTTCAACATGATAGGGCTGGGAATTTTGCTCTGTGGTGTAACACCTACCTGGCAAGCATCAGGTGAATTCAATTTCTGGTACCATCCCCCGACCTCCCCTCTACTTAGGATATTTTGAGCGTCTGATGATCCTTTCAGTCAGTAAACTTGTTCCTCTGTTCTAGGGAAATTTTTAAAATTTTTTTGTGCAGTTTCTTTTCCTTCATCTGAAGCTTTTATGTTGACCATAGGAATTCAATTGACCTTTTTTATTTTTTTAAGTTTTTCAACTTGTCATGTCAGTCTTCCTGATGGGTTGAAGTTTTTCAACTTCTTCATTGAAGTTTTAATTCTGACCATGTACTTTTGTTTTTTTCCTGTTCTATTTTCTCCTCTGCTTTTAAAAAATAATCTGACTCATTTCAGATTTTTGATGCCCTTCCCTAGGCTTGCTTTTATTGTCTTCACTTTTAGAAGGCTTGGATTTATTCTATTTCAGTATAGTTTTGTATTGCTGTGAATTGAATTCCACCTACTACTTGACTATACTGTGCCCTTAGCCCATGCTTAGAATTTAGTGACTGCCAGTTATTACTGGCTGTAATGGCTTTGTCAAGGTTTCATTGTCCCCAGGCTTTTGAGAAGGTAGTGGAAAGTATGTTTAGTAAGGAGCTCTTTCAAAGCTAGCTAGGTCAGCCTACTGGCCTGCCTCCCTTCCTCCCTTCCTTCCCTTCAATTTCCCCCTGCCTCTTCCCTTTTCCTCCTTCTACTTCCTCCTTTCCTTTTCCCCATTCCCCCAGATCCATCTGTTTTTCTGCAAACATTTTTATTCTTTATGGCTGAATAATACTGCATTGTGTATATATAAGATACCTTAAAAATCTGTTTATTTTTTAATGTGCATCTAGGTTGATTCCATATCTTGGCTGCTGTTAATTGTGCTATATAATACATGTGGGTATGCAGGTATTCTTATATTACGCTGAGTTTAATTGCTTTGTTGTATTACAAAGGAGAAGAGCTTGATCAGTTGGTACCTCTAATTTTAGTTTGTGAGGAACCTTTATACTGATTTCTCTAATGGCTTACTAATTTACATTTACACTTCCATCAGTAGCTTAGGAGTGTGGCGGATGGCTCACCCTTCGTAATCCTCCTTGCCAGCATTTATTGTTTTTTGTGTTCCTAATGATAGGTATTCCGAATAGGGTGAAATGGATTATCCATATAGTTTTCATTTCCCTAATTGTTAAAGATGTTTAACACTTTTTCATTTTATTTATTTTATTTCATTTTTTTTTGGCGGAACCGGGGATTGAACTCAGGGATTGAACTCAGGCCCTTGTGCTTGCCAGGGAAGAGCTTATTCCACTGAGCCATCTCCCTGGCCCCAATACTTTTTCATATATTGGGCATTTATACTTCTTTTGAGAAATGTCTGTTCAGTTGATTTGCCTATTTATTGATTGGGCTATTTGATTTTTTTTTTTGTCCTTTCTATAGTCTAGGTATTAAACCTCTGTTAGAGGAGTAAGCGGTACAGATTTTCTACAATTCTTTAGGCTGTCTCTTCACCCTGTTATAAATATGTATTATTAAACTTCATTGCTTCCTTGTTGTACAGACACTATATTTGATGTAGCCCTGTATGGTGGGTCTTGCTGTTATTTCCTGTGCTATTGGCATCCTATTCAAGGAAATCTTTTCATGTGCTAGTGATTTCAGTTGTTTGTTTGTTTATTTCCTTATTTTAGTGTCAAAGTCTCAGTTCTTCTATTTAGACCTTTGATCTACTTTGAACTGATTTTTGCATATGGTGAGAGGGATCCAGTTTCAATCTTCTGTAAGTGGATATTCAGTTGTCCCAGCACTATTTTTTAAGTAGGCTTTTTTTTCAATGTGTTTTTGATTCCTTTATCATAAATCAGATTGCTGTGATTATATTTCTCTGTCCTCTATTCTGTTCTGTTCTGTTGGTCTATGTGTGCCTATTTTTCCATAACTGTTTTGTTTTGTTTTTGCTTTTTTATTTTTATTTTTTTGTACCAGTAGTGAAACTCACAACCTCGTGCTTATCAGGCAGGCACTGTGTAGTGGAGTTGTATCACTCTTGCATAAACACCATGCTGATTTTTTTTTTTAACTAGGTTTTCATAAGCAATTTATTTAAACTTTATGCCTCTATTTCTTTATCTCTAATACTTTCACTGAGATTTTAACACAGATATTTATGTACTTTGCCAACAAAAATTCTTAACATGATTAGGGCTTAGAAACATATATTTTCTTTTCTTTCTTTCTTTCTTTTTTTTTTTTTTCTTCACCATGCTGATTTTGTTATTAGGGATTTGTAGTATGATTTGGAGTTAGGTATTTTAATGCCTCCACTCTTGCTGTTTTTGTCATTGTTTTGACTCTTTTGGATCTCTTTTTGTCCATATGAATTTTATGATCATTTTTTGAGTTCTTTAATGAGTCAGTGGTGTTTGATGGGGATTGCATTGATTCTGTAGATCAACTTTAATAATGTGGCCATTTAAGCAGTATTAATTCTGGCAGTCCATGAACATGGGAGGCCTTTCCATCTTCTGGTGGTGTTTTCAGTTTTTCCTTCAGTGCTAACAGAAATTTTCATTGTAGAGGTCTTTTGACTCCTGGGTTTGTTGATCTGTTGATCCTCAGTGTATTATTTTATTTGAGCCTATTGTGAGTGGAAAGAGTTTCTGCAAACTCCAACTTTTTCATTGCTGCTGTTGTAGAGGTTAGGGCAGGAAGTCCCCTACCTGTAATTTCTGTGAAGCAGTCCTGTCTAGAGGTTGGCCCCACTGTAAAGCCTTTCATTTGTATAAACTCAGGCATCATTAGAAGGGGCTTATTAGTAAAGAAAGATACATCACTTACGAAATCCTAAAGATTTAGGATATATATATCAGAAATTGAGGATAAAGACCAAATATTTCTTTGTATACTGTATTACCTTAGTTTAAGTGCTTAGGGGTGTGTGTGTGTGTGTGTGTGTATGGATGTGTGTGTATGGATGTGTATATAGATGGTATGTTCATATATAGGTGTGCTACTTTTTAAGTATA